ATTAACAGCCTGGAACTAGGGAACCAGTATTTTTAAAAGTTTCATAATTGATTCTTCTACTCTGACAAATTGCTAAAGCACTGACCCATTCATTCTACTTACCTGTCTCCCTCTCTTTCTCTTTCCCTATCTTCCTTCCTTCCTTCCTTCCTTCCTTCCTTCCTTCCTTCCTTCCTTCCTTCCTTCCTTCCTCCCTTCCTTCCTCTCTTCCTCTCTCCCTCCCTCCCTCCCACATACAAATACATGCATAACATTGTGTTTCAAATAATATAAGATGGCATGATTCTATACAAATCATTCTGCATATTGCTTATTTCTTTGCTCTTTTTATTGGGGTATTGATCTTTTATTGATCTCTAAAAGTTCTTTCTATAATAAGTGCTATAGCCTTTTGTAATGTCACACATATCTTTCTTCACTATATTGTTGCCTTTTAACTTCATGTATGGAATCATGAGAATTTTTAAAAAATTGATGGAATAAAGTGCACTGTTTCTTTAAGGCAATAGTCTCAACCAAAGATTATTTTTCCCCAGGAGATGGTGGCAATGTCTGGAGACAGTTGTGGTTGTAACAACTTGAAAGGAGGGAATCTATTGGCATCTAGTAAGTAGAGATGGAGATGCTGCTAGACGTCCTATGTTGCACAGCACAGCCCCCACAACAAATAATTATCTAGTTTAAAGTGCCAATAGTGCTGAGATTGAGAAACCCTGATGAAAGGCTATTGTTTTTGTTCTTTGTTTAACAAGATACTACCTCTTCTGATAACACTAATATCTTTATCCAAATCTATAGTAAACGTTCCTTAATGGACTCTGCCACTCAAATTACTAACATGATGCTTCATTTTACTTATTCCTCAACATAACACACAAATCTCCCCTCTTATTTCCCTTCCCTGCCTCCGTCTTTCTGCTCACTCCTCTGTAAGTCCCATAAGTTTTCTGTATGCCCTCGGTGACCAGCGTGGTGCTGGGTCATATGATGTGTGTCCTCCCCCTGCCTCAGATTTGTAAGTTCTCCTTCAGGGCTTGCTTGGGTTTGGTTTCATCAAACACCCTTCCATTCTCTGGGTTGCCTTTGCCTACTGAGTGTGAGTAAAAATGATCTCTGATCTGCTAGATTCTTCTGTGCCCCATCTGAAAACAGTGTCAGTGAAAGCCAAGTGGCCGTCAATACAACCTTGTCATTGAGCTGGAGGAAGCCTTGTGATTGGGACCCCAGCTCCTCCCTTGGTACCCGAGGAGCATGTGTCCAGAACAGGTGAGGAATGTGTCCAGAGTCTCCCATCCACCTGTGCAGAACAGGGTCAATGCCAGGACCCTGCTTGCTCAGCTGGCTCCATTTTCCCTCAGAAAACCCCCAGACAAACTCCTCTCACCGGAAGCATTTATTCACTGCTTTGGTTTTGTTGAAAGCTGCCACTGTCATTCTAGTGACCAGTTTGGAGACCTGCTCATAATCTCATTTTCTAACTGCAATCATCAAATCCATTTTCTCTCTCAGCATTAAAAATTTTAAGTTACTTTAATGTAAAAGAAGGAGGCTTAACTCAATCCAACAAACGATCTTAATGGTTGTCATGATAGCAGGCAGGGCATGCAATTGATGATTTGACTGCTCAGGGCAAGTCCAAGTTAATGTATCTGACTCTTCTATTGGCCTGAGAGCTCTTTGAGGGCCAAGGCAGGGCTTTACCTCTCTTCTAGGAGTCCCAGCTGGCACATCATAGGTGCTTGATAAATGTCACATGAATTAATGATCAGCTATATTGAGTTTTCTGTAAAATTACGGGAGAGGTGGGAAGGAAGCCCATACATTCTCTCAACTAACGTGAAAAGGAAGGTAGCTGTCTGTGCATCTCCCCAGACTCCACCGGCACCCAAATCATGCAGATGCAGTCATGCACACTTTGAAGCAACCCTATTAGTTTTGACTCACTACATTTAACGACCCTGTAAATGAGTCTTTTTTATACCTGGCTTAAGTTTGACCTTTCATATTTCTGTTTGCATCCTGCAGAGGACATGGGAATTTCTAGAAACATGGGGAGCAGACAATTTAAGGAAGGAAAACAGGCCATGGCTAAAGTGTCACACTGTGACTGCCTTTGAGTCATGAGTTCTTGGGTGGCAGGCACCTTACTCAGGTCTGGCCTCCCATCTCATTCTGTGCCATGCCCCCCGAATACTTTGGGTTGTGGTATAAATTATTTGACACGGGTGAAAATAATGAAAATAATTGTGGAAAAAACAGCTTCAGGTAAGTTCTATGTTGTGAAAAAAAATTTGGCTTAAGCAGATTCATTAGTCTGATGCAGCCAGCATGCAGCATTTAATAAATGATCCTGTTGGTTAACTGTAAGCAGAAAACCATTAACCCACGGGCTTTCTCTTTACTCTTTATTATAGCTGGTATTACAAAGGCTTAATCATTTTTCCCCATCATTAGATGTTAGAAATTGTAGCTCTGAAAATATCACGTATTAAATTTTGCGTATTCCCAAAGTCAGGTCTATTAATTATGATATTTCGCTTCATTACACATTTTGGCTGTTTGGTTACTACCTACTTATAGTTCAGACTTAATGGGACATAAAAGCAGAAGTGACCTTTATAACGGGACCTTTTACTTAGGAGAGAAAATACAAATACTGACTCAAAAATTTTGATAAAGTATGTATAGAAAAACAGGACTTACAAGAAATATTTATGATGCCCGGATTTTGCTTGAAAGTTAATGCTTGCATTTTATCTTATATTTGCTATTATGAATGGAGACAGTTTTTTTTTTAAATGAAACTAGTCTGAAGTGTTAGAAAATATAATGGCAGTTAGTTGCCATTGTTAGTGAAGTCACTAATATACGTTCCAAAGAAATCACATTAGGATGAAATGATTATTTTTCAAAAGGGCTCAATGACCCTGCAATGCATTTGATTCTGCTTTGTATCCCTGTGTGTGTGTGTGTGTGTGTGTGTGTGTGTGTGCATGTGTGCATGTATGCCATCACATCATCCACTGCATTGAGTATCCTTAGAAATCTATCCAATTGACTGTTTACTTTTTAGTTTGGTCCTCTCTTCTTTACTAAGAGTGTTTCTCTTGGTCATCCACATCAATCGTTGCTTATTTTATTCCATATGCCGATATCATATTTGTGCATTCCTTCATTGATAAGGCCCAGACAACAACACTTAGGCTATTGTTGATTCTTATCATATCTTCTTTCCTGCTTTTTATTCCCTTCCCTGGTGGGACTGACTCCTAAGTATGGCAAATTGGCAAATTGGGCATTGCCATAGGACCTGTCCTTTGCCACTCAGCACCTCTGTCATTGCCCACTGGGGTGATCAGCTTCATGAAGTGGTACATGAAGACAGTCTCTGAGGACCAGAGAAAGGTGGCTTGGTCCACTGTGTTGAGAACCAGTCATGATCTCTAGTGAAATTTCCCATATTGTTCGTGCCCTCATCAAGGCAGAGGCCGCAGATGGAGCTGGTTCTGTTTTACTTCTCAGGTTGATAGAGACTCCCTCCCTCTTTTAAAGGCAGGTTTAGGGTTATTTAATCACTCTAAAAACACTGTAGTGGGGAAAATGAAGGCTCCCTCTTGACTTGTGTTATCAAGAACTGGGACTGGGCCTTGAATAATCCTAATTCCATTTTACATAGTAGTTCACCTCATAGGCTCTGGCAGTTATTTGTATATGATTTCATTCATTCATTCATTCATTCAATGTTTATCCAGCAGCTCTCATGTGCCAAGCACTGTTTTAGGGTTATGGCTATCAAGTGAACAAAACAGAAAGAAGAAATCTGAACTCACAAAGCTTATATTCTAGTAGAGGACCAAATAAAATAAACATATAAAATAATTTTTAAAATATGTTAGAAGATGATGGATGTTTTGGAAGCATTAAAGCAAGGACAGAGGAGTCGACAATGTTAAAGACTTGCAGTTAGACAAGGTACGTGGAGACGTCCTTGTCAGAAGATGACTTTTAAGCAAAGACTTAAAGGTGGCTCGGGAGCAGCCATGAGAAGCAAAGGCATTCCAGGCAGAGGGAGTAGCCAGTGCAAAGTCCCCGAGGCAGGAGCGTGCCTGGAGGGTTGGAGGAGCAGTGAGGAGGTCAGTGTGAGGAGCCAAGTGAAGAAGGGCAGGAGCAGGAGATGAGGACAGAGAGATTGGGGGAGGGCAGATCACATAAGGCCTGGTAGGACTTTGCTAAGACTTAGGCTTTTATTCTGTGTAAAAATCAGTCATTCACTTAACATCATTAAGCCTCAACTGTAAAATTAGAATAATACATGTATTGGTTTAAGCAGGTTGTTTTAAGGATGCACTAGATTAAGAAATGCAAAATGCTTAATGTGATGGCATCACACAATATATTTTCAGTGAATGGCAGGTAGCGGGAGTTGTTCTTAGTGCTTGTACTAGGTTACTAGATGTAAACTCTGTAGGGGCAGGACCTATGAGTTTGTTTTGTTTTAGCACATAGTAATCTCTCGTTCAATATTTGTTGGGTATTATTGTTATCATACTTTTATTCTAAAAAAGCATTTGGGGTGGTATTCACATTTATCCCCTACTTATTATCCCCTACTTATTTTCTGTTGCTTACAAAAATATAGCTCCTACCTTTTGCCTTCTCCACAGTTCTGCTTTTTTGGCATGATAACAGCGTGACATCAAATGGTGGAGCTGTGTTGTGGAAAGAACTCCTGGCTAGAAGTCAGAAGATATGGCTTCCTTTTGCAGTGGCTGTGAGGGGTCATTCAACTCCTCTGCCCTTCCATTTTCCTGCAGTGATACAAGTTCAGAAAAAAATCCTTCTCCATTTCAGGGTTATTGGGAGAACAAACGAGCTACTAAATGACAATGTTCTTTGAAAACTCTAAATGGCCATCTCAGGGGGAGCAGTAGGTATCGTGCCTGGTAGCCTTTACTGTGGGAAGGGTGGGTACCTGTGCCTGGACTGATTTCTCTGGAAGAATGTTGGTATATGCTGTGCCTGGCATCTCTTTTGAGAAGGCTCTTGCCTCTCTGAGGACCTGCAGTTGCCAGCATGGGCTCTGCAATGGAGCGGAAGCTGTGGGGCTTCTCTGGCCACCAGATGTGTGGTCCCTGCCTTAGTAACACCATTCTCTGAGCTACACAATGAAGGTTTGGATTTTCAGAATTAATTTTTGTGTTGATTCCTTGTGATTTAAAGGTATTTCTGCTTTTTTTTTTTTTAAGTTGGAGTCTCACTCTGTCACCCAGACTGGAGTGCAGTGGCCGCTCCCAGCCACCGCAGCCTCAACCTGCTGGGCTCCGGCGATCCTTCCGCCTCAGCCTTCCAAGTAGCTGGAACCACAGGCATGCGCTACCATGCCCGGCTGATTTTTTTTTGATTTATTATAGAGATGAGGTCTCACTGCCCAGGTGGGTCTCGAACCCACGGGCTCAGGCAATCCGCTCACCTCAGCCTCCCAAAGGCGCGGGATTACAGGCTGAGCCACCGAGCCGGGCTGTTATTTCTGCTTTTTTAATGCACATATTAAAATTCTTATTTGGGACCAGGACAACCTGAGATGTTTTGAAAAGTGATTTCAGAAACATGGCTTAAAATGTCCCCTTTGTTCTAGTGAATTACATTCTTTCTTCTTGTCAAATAATTCTTGAGGTGATACCCATTTCACAAGACCTTCCTAAAAAATAGAGTCTGTCATACTTATGATCTGTCACAGAAACAAAGAATTGAATACCACATGTTCTCACTCATAAGTGAGTCCTGAACATTTATCATAATGCTATAAGAGAGGGATCAGCAGTAGTGGGACACTACCGGGGTGGGAGTGGGAGGCACATAATATCACTAAGGATTCCTGTTCCTAAACCAGGGGAGTAGGGACCAGTGGGAGGCCCACACTTCACCTGTACTTAGACCACTTATGTACCCAATTCTGATGTATACCCAACATCTTTAAAATAAAATAAATTTTTAAAAAGAAGTGTTGATCAATCTATTTGTCTTTATTTCTTCCAACCTTTTGTTTTGTTTTTTTTGAAAGCCCCATCATGTCCTCAACAGGCTGGGAATAGAGCAATGAACATGAAAGATAAAGTCCTTGCATTCACCGAGCTCACATTTTTGTGGGAAAGAGAAAAGAGGGATTAATTTAGCTTTCAGAGATTTCACCTCCAAGAAGGTGACACTTGAGTAGAGAACTGAATGAAAAGAGGCACACAAAGTCTGGGGGAAAAGCATTCTAGGCAGCGGGCCCAGCAGATGCAAAGACCCTGAGGTGGTAATGAACTAGATATAGTCCAGAGACAGAAAGAAGGTGAGGAAGGAAAAATGCAAGGGAGGATAAAGATTTGTGAAGGGTGAGGAAAGGGCTTGATCAGGGAAGTCTTTGCTGAGGAAGGTGCTTAGATTTTACTTTAAATTGATAGATTGTAAATACTTTAAATTATTGACAGTTTAAATATTCTCATAGTACTAATCCATTGACGCTTATCTGAGATTCTGTGAAGCAAATTGCCAAATGATAGCATAGAATTAATGTGGTATTTTTGGAGCTTCATTTGATTCAATCCCAAATCCCTTAATATTCCTTAAGGAGTTTGTTGAAAGTTGTTTGATGAGGATAATTAGCAGATTGAGTAGCCGTTTTAGCATACAGAATTCTATCCATGTGCGTTTAAGTGTGTGAATTCATTTCAATAAGAGACTTGGGAATCCCATTTCTCCATCGTCTATTCCGTACTGAATTCTGGTTTGCAGTTAGCCTGGAGAAGCCAGGAGTATTTCAGAAAGAGACCCAATTGTGTTTTATCATAGAAACAAATTGTAACTGAATAAGTGTTGAGAACATACCTGAATTCTTATGCTGTCTCGAGAGGAGCAGGCCATCTCTTCACATTGTTTTATAGTGTCTTCAACTACCAGCAAACAGCCATTCAGAGGCCAACAGTGAAGGACTAAGATAAACACTTTTTTCAAATCATGAACACAATTTAAAGACGTATAACCGAATTTTTATCTTCCATATCCAGTGGGGTCACATTTCTCTCTAATCACTTCAAAATAATGGGCTAAAAATTTTTATAAAACTCTGCTTAATTTAATCTCCCACTACACTCTCTTCTGACTCACAATTATCATGCAAGCTGGTTATTTTGGAAGTCTTTCATTAAATAGTGCAGCATCTCCTTAAAAAGTATTGTTGGTCAGGTAGGAAATTGAGCATAGGTAACTACATCTGTAAGGCAGATAAACTGAACAGTCATTTCTCATGAGGAAACTTTGCAGAGGTCCAGGATGTGAAAAGGAGATTCCAATTTAGATTCCTAATATCGTTTGTCCTGATCGACAGCTAAAAATGTCAAAGTTGGTATCTTCCTAAATGAGCCTCAGTTTTCACGATTGTTGCCTTCGAAAATTCCACTAAGTAATATATTCCTGAAATCCACATTAGTAAAGGTTTTGGGTTTCACAGAGGCTGCTCTCTCCTTTGTATTTCCTTGTTGGGTGCCTGTTATCTGTGGTCAGGCTAATGTTGGGATGACCTTGGGGAGCGTCCCACCGCAACAGCACGAGTAGTTAAGAACGTGTATTTCACAGGAACAGCATTTCCATTAGAGCAGTAGCTCTGAGACACAGAGTTAATTTCCCAGCTATGGCACCACTTTTCTTATGAGGGAATAATTGACCCATTTATGTTCTCATTTCAGCTTGTTGCGGATCCTTGCGCCAGCAACCCTTGTCACCATGGCAACTGTAGCAGCAGCAGCAGCAGCATCAGCAGCAGTGAAGGCTACCTCTGCATTTGCAATGATGGCTATGAAGGTCCCAACTGTGAACAGGCACTTCCCAGTCTCCCAGCCTCTGGCTGGACTGAGTCTATGGCACCTAGACAGCTTCAGCCTGTCCCCTCTACCCAGGAGCCTGACATAATCCTACCCCGCTCTCAGGCAACGGTGACACTGCCAACCTGGCAGCCAAAAACAGGGCAGAAAGTTGTGGAAATGAAATGGGATCAAGTGGAGGTGAGAATGTTGTATTCCATATATTTTTTTCAAAAGAAACCAGAAGCATTAAAATAATTCCAGTGGTTCTAATATCAGCAATTAAAAATGGAAGACTTTTAAGTCACTCATTGAGCAAAACGATGTGCTTAACCTTATTCCCGTCTTGCACTTGTGTGTTTGAAGGTTTTGTTGAGCAAAAAATGATATGCATTTCTGTAAGATAATCTCAGATTTGAGAGTAGATAGTTCAATGCAGCGTCATTGAGTAAAACTATATGTTATATATATAGAATTATAGGACCCCTCATTATTAATCTAATTTTTCCTTCCTGGAGCATGTCGTAATCCATTCAGGCTGCTGTAACAAAAATGCCATGGGTGGTTTATAAACAACAAACATGTGAGGGTACATTTGAGATAGAAACTTCCAAATTTTATTTATTTTGTCAGTAGCAAATTTTATTTGCTGAGACTTCTCCCATCTGAGTTTGGCTGTTTTGTCTACAAGCTGTTCAAGGAAAAAAAAAGATTTTTTTTTTTAGCAGACATCTAATAGTTGACATAAAATATAAACTTACTAGCTAGAGGAGTTGGGAAACAAATCCAAATCATGAATTTGAGGTGACATTGATAGAGTATAATTTCATTCCATATCTTATACTTTATATATATATGACATTCATATAAAGCTGTGGTGACATTATTACAAATTGCATAGTGTAAATGAAAAAGCACATAGATCTTTGGATTAGAGTCAAGGAATGTGTCTAGAAATTTCCCTTATTGTTATAAAAGAGGAAGGCAGTATTTCTCCTTTTATTTTCTTGGGTAATTCTAACCACTTGACCCACTTTTTTACATCGCCACAAAGTTTATGAAGGCCATGTTCAGACTGCAGAGCAATGTTTTTAGCCTACCTAAAAAACTGCGAGCTTGTTCTGATTTCAGACTTTTAATAAATGCTTTGAAGTTACGATTTTAATACCTCTTTGCTGGATGACTCAGTTCTTGAATGTGAACTAGATTTGGTTTCAAATTTATCAAGGAAGTGGCTTTTAAAGAAAATTTGTCCCTAACCAGTCATTTCAATCTATTTATTTAAAATCATGCTATTTTACAGTTGATAAATATAGAAAATAAATGTCTCACCTTCCTGTCATGTGTTATTTCTTAGGCAGTTCAAGGAGCAGGTTCAAAGTGCCAGAGAGAGGCTTGTGAATATGTTTGGGCTTTTCCTTCTTGTAAAGTAACAATGATGCCTTAAGAACATAAAGTTATTTGGAGCTTTAGAGGACTAAAATTTATTGTAACAGCCCTCTGTTACACATATTTAACAAGTTAGACTCAACGTCTTTGAATATCAATGATGGGCTTAATGCCCAGCATTTGACGATAGGGCATTCTGGAGAATAAGTTCTAATTATTGGTTGTAGGGTAAAATTGATGAGAGTCTCTGTATTGTTCTCGGTTAATTCTGTAATGATGAATACCTTTAGTACCCCTCTGTTTTCACTGTCATGGATGAGGACAGTAATCATGGTGTGAGGAATAAATACATCAGTTGCTCAGAAGCACTTTACTGGACACAGCTCAAATGTCTGCAAGACACTTTTTGATGAGCACAGTTCTCCCTACCTCTAATTGAACTCTTTTTTTTTTTTTAATATACACATCAATATAATACTTTTGGGAACATAGTTTAAAAATAAAGGTATAGCCCATGAGGAAAAAGAAAGGCAGCGTCCCCTCTCCCAGCCTTAGCATGTACCCCTGGGACCCATCAGCACAGAGGAGGGTTGCTCAGATGAAATGCTTCTCTTTACAACTTTGAAGCCTGGCTTGCCTGGTCATCAAGGCTTTTACCTGCTGTTTGTAAGCTGTTCCTTAAAGACTAGCTTCTTGTTCTTTAAGCATTCAGTCCCTGGTTACTGCCAGGCTGAGCATGCAGCAGGAGCCAATGACTGCTTGTTAAATGAAAGAGAGCAGGGAGTGAAATCCTGCTTCATTTCTTATAATATCCTATTGATCAGTTTCAACAATCCCAGGAATTTATAGACTGCGGTGAGAAAGCCTTTAGGTTTCAGACAATCAAATGGCAAGTCTTTCATTTTTCTTTGATTTCTTAAGGTTTTACTTGTCTCCTCTGTATCCCCACCCCAGCATCATTGAAAGGTACACAGAAAATGCAGCTCATGGGATTTTGCTTTATAGTATTGTGTTATACTGTGATCAACCCCAATAGCATGTTTTCTTCCCCCAAGGTGATCCCCGATATTGCCTGTGGGAATGCCAGTTCTAACAGCTCTGCAGGTGGCCGCCTGGTATCCTTTGAAGTGCCACAGAACACCTCAGTAAAGTAAGAAAATTCTTAGTTAAAAACTGTCAGATTGATATTATGTTCCATATACTGAATTGTGTCCATCCATGTAACTGATGTGTCACTGCCCAGGCCAGTAAGAAATGTGGGTGGATTCTAGTGTAGATATGGCCCGTGCCACTCAAAAACTAGAGAAAGCTATTTCAGAGGAGGAGATGGAGAGTACAGTTAGGGCCCAGTAAGGAGGAAGATGTGGAATTGGGAAATTGAATTGGGTGAGCCTGGTGTGAAGTGAAAAACCCTGAGGCCTTTGACATGATCTGAGCCGGATGCTCCATCTCCCAAATGCTTTTGCTTTCCAAATTATTGGCCTCTTGAGATTTTAACAGACCATTGGTTAAATTCAGATGCATAATTTGCCCTACATTTAAAACCCACACATTACAATTTTTTGTCTAAAGGCAAGCATCTGAGAAGTGCTTTGTTTTACATTTAAGCTTTTTTAAATTACAGATTGCCCATTGTCACTGGTGAGGATGGGAACCGTTTCAGGAAGCTCAGAGAAACCAGCAGCTGTCCAGGAGTGCATAGCTGGGACCTGGGGGTGGGGCCAGCATTAAAGTGTCCCTGACTGACTGACAACCCCCTACTGCCCATCCTCTGTTGTCATTAACTGCCACCCTCCCCATTCTCCCCATGAACCTAGTGGGAGTTTGCTGTTTAGTCTTTGAGATTTTTGAAGACTGAGGCAATGAGGCCTGGCTGACCATTTCAATGCATTGGCTCCCTTTTAAGGGACCCATGGGCACTATAGACCTCTTCCTTGTATACAGGGTCATCCCCCCACCCATTAGCTTTCTAAACAGTGGAGTCCCTGAAAATGTTTAGAAGAGGGACTTTGTTACATTGTTCCTGCATCCCCCACCCCTAGCCTTGAACTCACTCTGGCCAGGATGAGCCAGGAAGGGCAGTGAACTCCTAAGGCACGCTGGAAATGTCCCCAGAGGGAGAATGGTGGAGTCTGAGGTAGCTTCAAGCTCTACCAGTAGGGGGACCCCGGTCCTAAGTGTTTCATTGCTCATGATACAGATGAAACCCCCACAGTCCAGAGCTGGGTTTAAGGAAGTACAGAGCAGGAGCTCTAGTTTACTTTTTATGAAACCATCTCTCAGCGTTTTTCTGTCTAGATCATTTTATCTTAGCTTTATAAGCCTTTCTGAAGGTTCTGGCCTTTTATCCCCATAAATGCTTTTAGTTTTTCCTCTCAACAAATCTGACATTCTCTGAGACTCTCTTAGGGCTGCAGAACTGAACAGAAATAGCAGAGTCTTACCCAGGCTGACTGAGATGGGAGTGCCGAATGGTCTCTGAGTACCAAATACACTTGTGGGGATTACTAACGCCTTAAACTTTCATTTATTCATACATTTAGTCACTTATCAAATTTTATTGAGCACCCTATTACAAGCCAAAAGCTCTGTACTGTGGGAGAGGCTCTGTGCATAGAGTATAATCTTATCTTCTCCAGGAACACAGTGGAGCACGCTCAGCTGCTGGGGTGGTGGGAAGAAGGTTAGGGGTCTCTGGGAAGAGGTACTGCACGGACTAGGGACATGTTTCCCAGGTGGTGAAGGAGGATACAAAGGAGGCTGGCAGCTGGGAAAGAACTGGGTTGGGAGCTGGAAAAGAACCAGTAGCTCCTAGTTGATGGAACTCTGGGCTGCGAGGATGGAGGAGTTGAGGCTGAGAGGGATGCTGGGGCCGGGGTGGACTGCTTTCTATGGTGTCTCCATGGCATTTATACTGAATGTAAGCTGGAGGCCTGAAGCATGGCAGGTGGGGTTGGGGAAAGACACACTTTTGTGTATTTTGGCAGCATAATTTAGGTGTCCGTATTGGGTTGTAGTACACATTTATAATAAATTTAAGCAAGACTCTTCATACTGTGTATATATGGAAGGATTTGTCTGTAAAAGAACCCAATGTACTATTTTATTATTCATTAAAATTGTTATCCAAAGGTGAGTTATCAATGGATCATTTTGCAGTCTATTTTAAGTGGGAAATAGACCTTTCTAGCAAATATGGGGAGCCTTGAGTATACACTTGTGCAGTTAAGGTGGACACCTATATATAAGATCATGCCATCAATTTCCTGATGCCTTTGTGGATGTACATGTCGTCTTTATTTTAATTTGATGGACTGGTTATAAAATGAATTTTTCTGAAAGGGATTTTATGTGGTTTCTGTTTTCAGGATTCGGCAAGATGCCACTAATTCCCTGATTTTGCTGTGGAAGGTCACGACCACAGGATTCCAACAGTGCTCCCTCATAGATGGACGAAGTGTGACCCCCCTCCAGGCTCCAGGGGGCCTTGTTCTTTTGGAAGAGATACTCACTTTGGGGAATAATCACTTTATTGGTGAGTTACCAAAATCTTTTATTCAACATCACATCTGATTCAGCCCAACTTTAGTTTGGTGTTTAGAGCTAGTAGATAGGGAATTTTGTTCAGATAATCTGGATTCTAGCCATCGGTACTCTTTCCTCCATTTTTGGTAAAGTTAAAGTTTTAGGACCCAAACTGGGTCGTAACATAATATTTCCAGTGTGACTCAAAGTGGCGAAAGCATGGGCTTTGGAATCTGGAGACTGTATTTCAGCCCTGGCCAAAGCACTATGGGTATGTGGTCTTTGGCGCTTAACATTCCGAATCTCAGTTTTCTTTTTGATTCTTTCGTCTGTTTTCTCTAGGAATTGTGGACAACTTGAAGTGTTGAATGTAGGTCTCTCAGAAAAGCCTTTGTTTCCATTTGATTTTGCCCTGACTTAGGGTTCTCAGGCACAGCACCCCCACAGTGAGTTGCCACTTCTGAGCCCCTGACTCAGAAGTAACTTGTGGGATTGCTCTTTGGGGTCCCTTACCCCCACCCTTCCTGCATGAGTCACTCTGTCGCCCAGGCTGGAGTGCAGTGGCATGCTCCCGGCCACTGCAGCCTCGACCTGCTGGGCACGGGTGATCCTTCAGCCTCAGCCTTCCAAGTAGCTGGAACTACAGGAGCGCACTACCATGCCCAGCTAATTTTTGATTTATTGTAGAGACGAAGTCTCACCATATTGCCCAGGCTGGTCTCAAACCTGTGGGCTCAGGCAATCCTCTTGCCTTGGCCTCCCAAAGTGCTGGGATTATAGGCTTGAGCCACCACACCTGGCCTGATGTTTTACTCTTTCTTGAACTTGCTTCTATAAATTTAACCTTCACTAGATGACCACATGTCCATTTAGCTGTTTTCAAATTCCTCTCCATTGGAGTAGAAATGGCCTTCAGAGAGCAAAACCCTCAATGTTCTCTCCCCCAGCTCTGCCTCCTGCTCCTCCTGAGGGCCACGCTTGGACAGTTTCCCCAAGGTTAGCACTCTGACCACGTCCTTCCAGTTGTCTTTGTTTCTCACCCAGCATATAGTACCTTTGGGATTGGAACTTGGAACTCTGGTCCCTTAGCGTGCTGATATAATCAGATACTTTATTAATAGAGCTCGTTCCATTTTGCAGCCTCAATTCAAAGACATAAGTTTAGAATCTACTCATCCCAGTCCAATGCACCCAAGCAGCTTCTTGCATCCTGTTGTTAAAACTTTCTCCTGTCGGCTCATATATTCCAACACTAGGACTATATCCTCACCAGGATATTGGGGTGGGCAGTGACAGCACCCGTCTCTCAGGGGGATTAGGTGGTTAAGTCAGATAATGAATGTGAGAGGATAAATTACAAATGTTGTGGATTATTCTAGGGTATCTCCCCCCCAAGATACACTGTTTTGCTAAAAAAAAAAAAAAAAGAGAGAAATATACATTTAGAATTATTCTAAAGTATGTTTGATGCAAATATCATAATGAAGACAAAGGGATAAAAAAATGCTGAGCTCTATGTAATTTGTATTGCATTTTGCATTTATATTTGATTAACCTTTGTCTTATGAGAAGCTCATTTTTCAGCTTAGGGGAGCAGGATTTTATTAGAGGGAGAAAAGATAAGGGGAACCTTCACTAAACCACCTGTGGAAGTCCTGTCCATTAGGGAATGGACACTGCTAGGAAATAGAGGGGAGCAAGCTTAACTTTAGACTGATGTCTGACCTCAAGATGGATACTAGATAATCAGAAATTGTGCGACAAAGTGCTGTCAAGAGTCGAATCTAAGTTTTACTCACCAATACATTCCAAGTAACTATTATTTACTTCCATATCTTGTGTAACAATTTATTTAAAAGGAAATAGTTTATTTTGATAGTTTTGCTCTTTTAAGTTTTTATCTTTAGCAGATTAACTGTTCTCATATGACATGAAGCTAATATTTCAAGAAAATGTATGAAATATCTCTACTCTTCAAAATTTCATTAATGTTACTGGAAGACACCTAATTGAAATACAGACAGTCCTCACTACAGTGTTCTGACTTAACAATTCCTTGACTCTTAGATGGCTAGAAAGTAATATGTGTTGAGTAGAAATTGTACTTTGAGGACCCATTTAAGCATTTTGGTTTTCACTTTCAGTACAGCATTCAATAAACTACATGAGCTATTCAACACTTGATTATAAAATAGACTTTGTATTGCATGATTTTGCCAGACTGTAGGCTAGTGTCAGTGTTCTGAGTGCTTCAAGTAGGCCAGGCTAAGCTAGGGTGTTTTGTTAGGTTAGGTGTATTAAATACAATTTTGACTTAATGATATTTTTAGTTTATGATGGGTAGGTTGGGATATAACCCCATCATAAACTGAGGAGTGTCTATATTAGCACATTTTATACTTTTGGTTGTGCATAACTATAACCTTAGACTGACATTGGGAGTTAGGATGAGGAGTAATAGAGAAGATGTTTTCCAGTATTCATATAAATTTATTCTCTTAAGGTAGAAGAAAGCTTATAAACTCATATATAATTTGAGCTCATTTTGCTAGCCAGAAATCTTATGAAAAATTATCTTTTATTGAAATGTATTATCCCTAGGGATTAATTTTTAAAATTTTAATTTAATATATTACTAACTAAATTAATGCTTTCCCAAAAGTTATACTTTAGTTTATGATGAGAAGGTAATGATTTTGAGTAATACCCTTTACTTCAATAAACCATTTGTTTCAATTTTGAAGATTTGTGTCTAAGTCTTTTATGTGGCTTTGTAATGGAGATCACGATCTGTCAGTGTGATTCTCTTTACAGGTAGCAGGCAGTCCTGTCCCAGGCTCCTTCTGAGGACAAATGGCCAGCTTCCTAACAGAGATAAATTGGCTACACCTACAGGCTGCCAGCTACTTCTTTCACAAAACCTTTTTATCTTAAAGAAACAAGATTTATCTTTTGTGATTGCTGCAGAAGCCTTATGCTTACTACATTGATATGTGTTCAGCACCTTTTTTTGTTTTATTTTAAAAAGAAGCTTATTAAAAGAATTCATTTTTACAATCTCATTTTACAATCTCAGTTCTCTAGACATAAATATGTTTTGGCTAAGAACCAAAAGACTCTTTTGAAGAGTACAACGGTGTTCATTTGACAGACAAAAAAGTTGATGCCAGTGTGGATGGAAGGAAACTTCCATGGCCAATGGAGAGTCAAACTCCAGAACTATGTTACTTTGTTTCAGTCCTTATTGCTTGTTTTTTCAGAAAGAAACTTGAGTGGTTTTTGGGAATTGGCAGTCTCCTATCTCCCCATCACTCTCAATAGATTCCACATACATAGCTGATAACAAAAGCTAGTTTAGTGTTTCTATGCAACAGAGCAAAGGAGTTCCTTCTGTGTCTTTGGGAGACACACTTGGTTGCTGCACCAGATTTGTACAAAAACTCTTTTTTAAAAAGTTTATTGCTGAGAGTCTAATGCTCTACACATTTTGGATGAAGATAATGTACTTATGTTTACCCTATTTCAGTGCTACTACATTTAGGTTTTTTCCCCCACAGTTTTCTTTTATTACTATCACCTTATAAATATTAGTACTGTTTCATAGAAATGAAGATGGTAAAACTTTTTACGAAGTGTGTCGCTCTTCCCTCTGTGCCTCAACCTCTTTCCTGCTGTGTTGCCACCAAATTTCAACTCTTCTGTCCTGTCTTTAATTATCCCTTCTGTTTTCCCTAAATATGCTATTTTCAAGTATGTTATTTGCTTTATGCAACATTTTGAGGGTAGATAACTAAATTAACCTTTGTTTAGTATTATCTGCTCCACGGCGGAGCATCAGAGGTGCTCATTCGCTCCCTAAATGAGTCATTTGCTGGAGAGCTTAGTATTTCAAAGAGCAAAGGTTATTGCTCCAGTCACATTTCTAGAATACACAGTTGTGGCTTGCCTGTCTTAAGTATGTTTTTGTTTGTTTGTTTTTCTTTTTACTTGCTCTTCCTTGGAGACATCGATGTGATGGCCCATCTCAGGGGTAAGGAGCCAAACCAGCCTCTGGGATGCGGCCTCTGTGTTAGAGAGCTGTTGAAGGTGACAGCCCCGTTGGAGGTGACAGCCCCGTTGGACCCCCTGTTGAGACTTCTCCTCTTGCCTCCTGCCCTGAGGCATGGTGTTCCTGACTTCTACAGGTGGAGCTCTGCCCTGCCAGCTTACTGCCAGTGCTGATCCCACCCAGAACACACCCTTTCCCCATCCCCATTCTCTCTGTTCCTCAGACCTCTGAACTCTGTTCATCTTCAAAATCTCATTTAAACCCTCCTCTTTTGAAGTGGTTTATGAGGAAAATGGCTAAGTAAAGATTGAACTCTATGTGGATTCTCAGACCTCCTTTAACTCATAAATTCTTACAAACAGACAGATACCCTGGAATATTCTCACAAGTTCTCTGTTTGCTAGGAAAACTCAGGTAAGACATGTCTGCTCTCTCCATACTTCCTGCCTGCCTACTTGCTCAGAGAAACCCTGATTTTCCCTGCATGCTTTTCTCTCTTATGGTTCATACTTATTGTCTCCATCTGGTATTTTATCCGTTCCCTGTCCTTTGAAGTTATTTTCATTTTGATCCAGTTCGTTCCTCTTTCCACTCTTTCTTTATAGTTGATGTGTCTAGATTTTTATATTTGTCTTTTCCTATTCTTCCATTCTATTCTCCTGTCTATAACCTAGTATTTTTTCTATCACTTTTATTAGGTACACATTTGGACCATCCTTCCTCACAGTTTCAGTAAATTTTTTATGTCTAATTTATATCACAGAAATAAGTGCATGTTAATGCCTCATCCAGGCCGGTGATATTTCATGTATACCTCTTCAAACATTTCTCTTATATCTTTAGATCCACTTTAACTTCATGAGAGGGTTTATGGTGTGACTCATGGTCCATAAGAATGTTCAGAATTATAGCCATTAAATTAACTACAGAACCCTGGAAATCAACAATTTTCAGGTCTTTGT